TTTCCCAAACACTTTCATGCAAAATGCTTAATTCCAGCCGAAACCAACCTATTTTTAATTGCCAGCAGGAGCAGTTGTGTTTATTACAGCAGTTGTAATTATGAGCACAGATTCTCACCCCGCAAAGAAACACACCAATGCCATCCTGCCCATAAGCATGGCTTGGGTCTTGGATCTCCTCTGAGCTTTCCAGCAGCCCACTTTTGAGGAGCTTCTCTGAATCCTGGCATCTCGTTACTGCTTATTGCTTTTTCCTTATTGGTTTTTCCATTGCCTTTTCCCTACTGACTGCCTTTGTTGCCTGATGCCTCCAGAAAGGTTAGCTGAAAAACATCTGCAGGACCTCAGTGGGGGTGGGTACAGCTACAGGGTGCAAATCCAAGGTGCTCCACAGCAGCCTGGACACTGAACAAGGCCTTGCCATTGCTGGGACTTACCCTAATTGACGTCCTGCCTCTGGCATGGCACAGCGTCAGTCCATTCCCTTCCTCCCACTTCCTTCACCGTGTCATGGCTGGGGCACTTCTGGAGGCCAACCACAGCTTGTGGCCGCCTATCAAATGTTCAACTCACTTCAAAGGAGTTGCTTTGCCCCCACGGCTCGAAAACTCAATGTGTGCTTTTTACTTGCCTTGTTATGTGCTATTCTTAAAGCAAGTTCAGATGGTGGTTATGCACAGGTGGGGGGCCCTGGCCCACGAACATAATTATGTGAATTATTGTGTATAGTTCTCCTACCCCCTTCATTCAAGATTTGATTCCTTATTATTTCTTTAAGAGGCTTAACAGCTTTTCAAGCTGTGCATCTTCTGGGAAATTCAGACCTGCAAACTCTTGTGCTGGTTTTTTGGGGGGGAGCAAATTATATTTTGATAAAGCTCTCAAGCTTCCTCTTCATCATAAACAGCGTGAACCTTACATGTTCTTTTGGCAGGCTGGTCTCCTGCTGCAATGCAATACAGACCCCTCTGAGGTTTTCTGGTCTTTGTGCTGTCTCATGATGAACAGATCCAACACCAGAGCTTTCAAAAGCAAGCTGTGATGCTCCTTGCCTGGAGACAGTGGACTTCTGTGCCTGTAAGAAGGAAGCAGTCCTCCGCATTCCTTCTACCAGGCCTTACAGAACAGGCAGCAAACTCATGCTTTGAAATCCCTTTACTTCCTCCAGCAGTGTTCCAACATTAGGTACTACAGTCAGGTTTTGTTGTTGTCATTTGTGGTAGTGCAATTTGGAGAGGCTTGAAAGAGACCCAGCAGTGCCTTTCAACAAGTGAATTTTAACTCTTGCAGAAAGCAGGCACTTCTAGTGGTGTTCCCAGCCTGGGATTTGAGAGATCTTGTTTCTGGTCTGGTTCTTTCACAGAGTGCTTTGTGCACACTTTGCTTCCAGTTATCAGAGGCTTAAAAACCAAAATAAGATTCTCCCAAGACACTCTTCTGAGACCTCCCTACTTCCCTGTGACTGACATTGCTACTCTCTCCTTCTGTTGATGAAAAGTAAGGGCAATGAATCCTGACACAGAAGACTGTGGGATACTGAATTGCACCCAATGCCAGGAAAGCTTTCACTGAAACCAGAGATGTCATAAACAAATCAGTAGATGACTTATGGGGAAAGGAAGTCAGGATGACTTCACATATCTAATGAGCTACCAAGACCCACTACAGGACCAGAGGGAGTTTGTTAGCAGAAGATTGAGCTTTCAGATATTTTAACTATAAGAAGAGGAATGAAGTCTGAGGTGTTCATGTCTGTAACATTTCCCTTGCACCAGGAAACTTCCACTCAATTCACTGCCTCTTGCAGCTGCAGAGAGGCATATTTAGATCTCAGCTTCACACATAGCCTTACCTGCCCCTGTTTAGTTTGTCCATCCTCCTGCAGAATCTGAGTGCAGACTGACTTTTAATGTACTTGGCCTTCGTGGCATCCCCATCTTGGAGGAAAGGGAGGCACAGAGAGCACATGATGAGCCCCACATGGACCAGCAGTGTGTTGGCCCCAGGCAGGTGTCCACATCTCCCTCTCTTACGTGGAAGCCCCTGGAGCAAAGAGAGTGGGACATGGCAGGCCCTGCAGTCAGGAGAGTTGGCTTCATCTGGCATTGCCAATGCCTACTGGATGTTTTTCGCCCAAAGTTTGTATGTAGGACTTCATATTTATAACTAGAATACAACTAAGAGCCATCAGAAAGGCAATTAAAACCAGGAAATATCACTATTTCTGGGATTGTGGCAGACTCTGGTTTGGTTTTTTGTTTGTCTGTGGGTTTGTTTACTTGTTTGTTTTTTGGTAGGGCACAGGGTTCAGGCCTGTGACTTCGTCTTCAGAGGACTGCAGTGTAAAATACCTGCTCACCCATTTATTTGTCTTCCATTTGATTACTGTCATCTGAGATAGTGAGATAAAACAATTCAGTAGCTTCTGTCACAGGCTTTATTTCTAGATTTGATTGCTCTGAAAAAATCAGAAAATCTGCCCTGGTGCTGGTTTTTCTTCCACTTTGTTTTTAGTGTACCTAAGGTAGAAAATAACTAAGCATTAGAGGGAGATTATGGCAGTAGGTGTCAGAAAAAGCTTTTTCAGGTGTTCTGTGTGTGGGACTGCAAGCTCCATCCATTTCACACATTCATAATTTAAATAGTAATTAGAAATTCTAAATAATCTCTCCCTGGGCACTACCTAATCTTCATTAAACATCTAAATACCAGCGACTAAAACTGGGTCAGCTCCTCAGTGGCCTGTGGTGGAGTGAAGGAGCCGTGTCAGACTCCTGCAGCACAGGATCTGGCCTCACTGGCTCAGAGAAGGAGCTTGTTTACTGCACACTAAATGTTGCACACAGAGGGTCCCATCCTCTTCACGAGGCAGGAGAGCTCCTGCAGTGGCCAAGGAGCTGTGCTGTCTTGCAAGCAAGGAGATTGGTCCTTCATCTCCAGTGGGAGAGCAGGGCTGCTCAGGGATCTGAGGAGGCACCTGCCTGTGCTGTTCCACAATTGCTGATGCCAGGGAGTGAGTCCTGAGGCTGGTGCTCACAGGTACGTGCATACTGCATGCAGAATGTCTTGGCAGTGGGAAATGCTGTGTGGCTGAAGGACAAATCCTGCTTTTGCAGCTCCAGACCTCTGCCTCTAGGCCCCTGCTCTCCCACTCACAGTGTGAGTAGGATTTTCTTGCTCATTCCACCACCGTACCCTGAGGTTTTCCTTTCAAGTCTTGTGTCCCATTCTGTCCTCCCTACATATACTTCTCTCACTAGCCCTCTGCAGCCCACTTGTAGCCCACCCTCACCTCCTCTTTTTTTTTTTTCCCCTGGAGGTCATGAAACTCTTGTTTCCGAGCTGAGGGAATCAGCACTGATCCCTGCAGGCAGAGCTTCAGTCCCTCACTGCTAGAGAGGGTGAGGAAAGCTTCTGTTCTGTTCTGACACACGCAAAATCCAGTGGAAACCAGGCAGGGTTTTTATAATCTGTATGTTATGTTATGATTCCTTCCCCTAACACCTCTAGTGCTGAAGAAGGGTATCTCCGGAATCTCTTCTGCTCCACACAGCTAAACTCACCCAGCCAAGCAGATTCACCACTAATAACCCATGAAACAGACACTCCAAGCCAAGAGGACATACCTTCAGAGGAACTGCGGAACACTGACGTGCAGCAGAACACTTTGGGTCCCCAGCATGGGACCCTGCCTGTGTGCAGAGCTCCTGTCTGATGGGCTGCCTGGTCCTTTTCATCCTGACGGTATTTACTGAGTGGCCCCAACAGCATCAGTCTCCAGTTCAGAAGTGGCAGCGGTTTCCAGACAAAGTAAACCATCTCATGCAAATGCAGTGCTGACGTGGTTTGCAGTGAAGAGTAACAGAAGCAAGAAAACATGGTTCAGCTTGGTTTACTAGTGTATTAAAAAAAAACTGGCAGCAAAGAAAGCAGAAATTTGCTGTGCCCATGGGATGGAGAGGAGAGCACAAGAAATCTTTATGACTGCAGATGCCTCTGCTGGTAGGATCACACAAGTACTATTATTGCTTCTACTCACCATCCATCTTTAGCTATCCAAGCTTGTTAGAACGGCTCTGCAGAGTGGGGAGCAGGTACAGGACCTTGCAGAACAAGGAAGTTGTCCCACAAGAGGTGCTGCACTGGGATGTGCAGTTTGCATGGCTCATAATACATAACAAGATTTCCATCATCCCTCCCTACTCTGCATTCCCCCATAGCTGTCCCTGTGAGGCAAAGCATTATTAGCCAGTCTGCTCCAGACAGCATCAGCAGTCCTGAGAGTCCTGGGTATGAGCAAGGGACTCCTGTGCATGTGTGACTGCAGCCTCTCCCTTTCCACAGCAAAAGCTTCTCAACTGCTTCTGTATGTGACTGACCCTCAGCACACCCTGCAGGCTAAGGAACCTGATGATGGGTGAAAATGTTGGCCTAGAGGGGCAGTTTCCAACATGCTGGAGAGAAGCTGAGGAGCAGATGATCAGTGAGAAGAAAGACTGTGAAAAAAACCCCACCTTTGCTCTACAAAACTCCACTGGCACACCCATCTTAGGAAAACATTAAGCATCACAATGCTTCTCTTGGCACCAGGACAACATGTCCAGCATTACTGCAGCTACTCAGCTAAAGGGAAGGTACAGAACAAAAGGAAGCCTGGGCAAACACTTGCATGGGCTCTGCTTGCTGCTCAGGAACTTGAGATTGTGTTGTTAAGAAGAGTGGGACTTAAGCACCCCCGCATGGAAGACAGAGAAATTTCTTTCTTACTTAAAAGGAAAACTTTATTTTGATACATTAAAAAATCTATACATTTCTTAGACTAAAATACAGTTTTGCATCAGTATCCTGGCACAATGTCAGTTTACACAGAAAATCTAAGATTAGATCAGCACTGTTAATTTTTCTTCTCTTCCTGCATTCACAGCTTGCAGTATAAAACATTTTAAGTTCCCAAGACAACAATAAACAGTGTCACATTTACTTTTCCCATTTTCAAAGGAGGTGGCATTCCACTGGAAAAAGGAGCACTTGTTAGTTGATCTTGATTCAATGTAAATCACTAAGTCAGTCCAGGGATTTGATTGCCCTGTTAGAAGTATGAGTGAAGGAGGATGAAAAATTCGTTTTCAGGTGAAGCTTTGATGGACTATGACAATGCAAGTACTGTCAAGCCTTTAAAATATGTTCAGAAGATTTTCCTTAGGGTAGTTTCTGTAATCAGCAACACAATCCATCATACAGAAATAATTCTTTTCTATAGGTATAGATTCCACCTTCATTTTTGCTCTGAAGAGCTCCATGGCAAAATAAAAGCAGGACACAGGGGATGTTGCTGTGAGATGTCTGAATTGGAACATGAATTTCCTTAACTATTGTGAAGATTCTGCAGAATATTTTCTACCTGTGAAATCCTGCTCTCCATGGCTCCACCTAACCTTTGGCCTCTGCTTTCTAGCCCACATTAGAAACAAAGCCACCTTTCTATTTTCTACTCCCTCACTCCCCCAGGACGCCCTACAACCTTGTCTGCAGCACTGTTTCCCAAATGAGAGATATTCTTCCTTTTCAGTTTGAGCAGCAGGGAGGGACCCAACTAATACTAACATGGACCACATATGGTATTTGAGAGTTAAAAACTGTGACCTCGGTGGAAACACCAGTCAGTGCCCAATTTCTGCTGGGTTTCACAAGTAGTCAGAATTGCTAATCTCACCAAGTGTTTCTGGAATAACTCCCTAGCTGTCCCTATTTCCACTCAAGCCACAGAGGTTGTCCACTTGAGGAATGACAGCTACCAATGCTGCCACATACTTAGAAAGGTCATAGCTGTCTTTAACATTACTGAAATAAGACTAGTTCTGTTCAAGTCAGCTGGTACTTTTGCTCTGAATTCTTGCAACTTTGGTTGTAAGTGGAGTCCCATGTTTCTGTAGAAAAGTACCAAATGCTTAAAACACCAAATTCTGCTCATCACACTCACATTTAATGACCTGACCTCAGTGAGACAGAGGAGTAGAATCTGATGGGTGTTTACTGGTTTTCTGCTAGTTCCTTTTTAGCAGATCTCTGCCAAATGAATGCCTCCAATAGTTTAGCCTCCAAATGGGTATTTTCAGATTGATTCATGCTACCAATTGTCCCTAGGAATATTTTCATAATCCTAAAGTCTCTGAGGAGCTTTGGCTTGATTGCATCAGCTTGCGAACATTGCAAGACACATCACAGCTCCATCCCAGACCAGAAATTCTGCCTTTTATATGTGACCCATATCACAAGAGATAAGTTTCATCTTTTCTCTCACCTCTTTAAGTATAAAAGAAAAAAATACCTTGAGAACAGTATTCGCTACAGAACACAAGAAATATAGATTTACTAGTTTCCATAATCTTGTTATGTGATGGAAATAACAGCAGAGATGAAATAATTGAAAAACCATTTGGAAATTACATATTTAGAGTAAACTTTCATCATCTCAACAAAGAAGCTGAGTGCAAGAAATGCTTCAAATAAGTCTGTTGGGTCTTGTGTTGGGAAACACAAGGTTGGTAGTTTTTTTTTTTTCACAAAGATGAAATAAGATTTCTGTGTTGATAATGTGACACACAAGCTGTTCAAGAAACAATGGGCTACTGATACTTAGATTTAGTAAACATTATCTGCACAGGCAAAGCCATGATCTAAAAAACAGGAATGCTGTCAGGTACCTACTTATAAATCTTACGATTGTTTCTCAAAACGACTGTGCCATGTTCAATATAGCATGTAATATGCACTCTGAATCAAATGCTCACTGGATGACAAGTATATGTCTGCTACATGCATTTTATTCTGACTCTATAACATACATTCATAGAATACATCATAACCACTCAGAGCAAACCGCTAAAGTGCATGCCCTGAGGGCACATTAAATATGTTGTCTCCAACACTGGCTGCTCAATTGCCAGAACACTGATACAGAAAGGGCTCATTTTTGCGTTATATCCCCATTATGTGCTGAAAGAGTAAGAGCTAACATCCCCTGCTCCCTCCATGAAAGGGAGCACTGTGGAGCAGGCTAATTGCCTGCTGCAAAAAAAGCCCTTTCAGAAAGAAGTAACCACCCTGAGAAGATGCTGTACAGAAATGCAGGGAGTAAGTCTTGGATTAACTACTGGGTAAGTGGACCTGTGTACTGGGTTAGGCTGGATGGAGTAAATTTCCTTCACAGCAACCTACAAGGTGCTGTGTTACAGATCTGCAACCAAAGGAGTGTTTGATAACACAATGTTATCAATGTTACCTGCTGCTGAGCAGTGCCTGCACTGGGTGAATGGCCTTCTCTGTTTGTCACTCTGCTACTCCAGCAGAGTAGGTTGGAGTTGGGCAAAAAGGTGAGAGGGCACACAGGCAGGACAGCTGACCTGAACAGTCTGAAGAAATATTCCGTAACATATAAGGTCATACTCAGCTATAAAACTGGGGTGGTTCAAGCCACTGCTTGGAGATTGGCTGGGCACTGTCTGCTGGTGGGAGATGGTAAGTGACTGCCTTTATATCACTTGGGTTTCTTTTTCTTTTTTTAGCTTTTTTTCTCTTACTTAATGAACTGCCTTTATAACAGTGCTTTTTGTCCTTTCACTGCTCTCTCCCATCCTGCTGTGGGGACTGAGCAAGCAACAGGGTAGCAGCGTATGTGACAGCCAGGGTCAACCCACCACAGCATTTTAACTGGGTTTTCCACTGCTAGTTCTCCCTTCTAGGATACATTTCCCTAATGCAGAAAGTCCTTCAGTTACTATGCCAAGCTAAGGCCACATTTAAAACCTCATCCTGTTTTTGGCAGCTGGGAGCTACGAGAAGGCTGAAGATGCAGTTCTAAGCTGGCCATAGTGTTTAGCCTAGCTGTGGAGCAGCAGTGAAACTGCAGAAGAGATGGGTTGCACTTCTAACCACAGTGATGGAGTGACATCATAAAAAAAAATCCTACCTTAGGACTTTAACTCAGCACCTACTCCCCCTCTCATTGTCCACGTGATATCCTAAATCATTGCCTCAGGAAGGTGAGAGGGAATGTGGTAAGATCAGTGGGGCAAAGGGGAGCTGACAATGCCACTTGGCACTCCTTTACTGAAAGAGCAATACAGAAATGAGACCTAAAAGAACAAAAAAAAAAAATCCTCCAGGGTTGGAAGAAACAATAAAGATTACACACTGCTGTTCAGCTTCCAAATAAAACAGTGAGTAAAATAATGTGTAAAAATTTTAGCAATTTAAAGAATTGTATATGTTTTTCCCTTTGTAACCTAGCTGGTCAGAGGCCATGATACAGACCATCTGCGGAAACCAACGGCTGGGAACTAGTAATCCCACTGATTGTTTCTAAACCCAGATTGTCCAGTCTAAATCTCCAGTCCTCAAGCAGTACTTAGTTCAATGGACTTGCTAAGGAGATGATTTCTCTGTTTCAGCTGTCTCATCTTGCTCCTCCTGCATTGTTATTCTCGCTGCAGCATCGCTCTCTAGTTAGTCTAGACTGCTTCTCACAAAGCAGTCCACATACTGGCTTTAATAACCAACAGTCAAAAAAAAAGTATTGAATCCATCACAACTGGCAGAGCCCAGCATCCCTACTGCCAACATTTCTATAGCAATTTACATGCCAAAGTGTCCTCTTACTCTGCTATCCCCACTAGGAAAGGAAAGCAGAGTCTCAATTTCTCCTGAAAAGTTGTCTCTTCAGAACTCTGTCTTCTGCTTATCTCCCTGCACAAGACAGGGCTGGAAGAGGTCAGCTTGTAGTTTGGTTGCAAATGAACTTCAAAGGACATTCAAAAGCTTTAAAGGGCCACTGGAAAATCTGCATGTGGATGGAATGCCTTTTTGGCATGACTTAAAAGCTCTGCATGCCAGATATACACTCAAGAGTGGTGCACACAATTTTATTAAGAACTTCGTAATGATATAGATTTCTCACTTAAACATTACAACTACCCATAGAAAAGTGTTGCCTGTATCTTTTAAACACCATGTAAATAAAACAAATTTATTTTTAAGACAGGATAAACTGCTATAAAAATGGTGCACAGTCAAGTAATACAAAAATACAAAATTTGTTTCCAACTGCAGTCCTAGTTGCAATTACAGAGAAAAGTCCCCACTCAGGACTTCCAGTGAGCAGGGAACACAAACTTGCGGGATCAGTCATGGCAGAACTTTTTTATCAAAATGCGCAGAATACAAGGCTTCTTTGATTAAGCACCTCCAATAGCCTCCAAACAAGAAGAAAATTAATTTTTTCTGGAAGCAACTGGGTACTTGATAAGTCTTTTAGCCTTGGAATCCAGTTTCTAGGATTCATCTAAGCCAGTTTTTAAATTTCTGGCATGGTTAAACCCTCCTGATCTACACAAATATTGATGTTGAGAGCCACTGCTGTTCTTAGACACTGGTACAGCAGGAAGGTCTCCTCTCCACAAAAGTAAGACTGCTCCAGTGCTTCTTCTAGGCAAGTCTGACCTCTGACTTGCACTGAGAGGCCTCACCAGTGCTCCAGTCTGAATCCCTAGGTTGAAGCTCTAGCCCAGTTAGCACTTACACAGATGTGTAAGCTACAACTTCAATACTTAGAGAGCCCTTCTGATGTTAGTGGAGGTACCGATATGGTTCACTTAAATGAGTGTCTGAGTGCTTCCAGGACTGAGTAATTCTGTCTCTCTGCCTCCCCAGCAGCTATCCTTTCTACATGTATCTTTATTTTCACACCTCTCACATAGTTTGGGGTCTGTGATATGAAAAGTGTAAATCCTTCTTTTAACTGGCTTACCGAAAGAAAACCTACCAAATTTAAGTTATCAAATGCCTTCTGGAAGCAAAAGTGAAATATTTTACTATTGCCAAAAGATAAGAGCACTAGTTAGCTACATGATACTACATAATTTTTTTAAATCTTCAGCAGCAATTTGGAAGTCTGATCCTCTGACAGGAAGCACAAATAACTGCTTATTTACTAAACCTTGATAACATGAGTTGTGCATGTCTCTACCTAGACATACCTCTCTACTCCATTACAAAGCTTCTGTAGAAAGACTCTTCTCTTTCAAAAGATTTTCTTGAATGGAGTGATTGTACCATTGAGGCATCGTTTATTTGTAGAGAGCTTGTATTTAGTGCAATAAGTTTAAAAATTCTGCTCTGAAATATTAACTTTACATTAACAAAAATAGTTTTCTTAAAAAAATTGTAACAAAAGGAATATATAGCATAGACAGATCATGAATTCTTAGCAAATACACTTAAGCATTTACCATTACAATAAGTTGAATAATTGAATATTAGCATTCATATCTGGTGAGCTTCCAGACTGAAAAGAAATTTTGTACTACTACTACTAATAATAAAAAAGCATGTTCTCTTGTCATTATTTAATAACTTCAGATAACTATCCTGGCAGCTACACTTCCAAAGAAATGTTTCTCTGCCCTTTCCCGTTTTAGCCACCCACTACAGTACATACATATATGGATCAAACAACAGGCAAGGAATGATCCCTTCTTCCTCCTAGAGCTCTCTGGTATTAAATGAAATGAAGCATACAGTACTTTTTTATGTACAGTAGTACAGTTCATTTCTCTTCCCCTCCTCAGCATCTTTGTATCTAGTCATGAATTAATCATGAGTATGGCTAAGACTGAGCTTTAACAATCTGTTATTTCAATTGCCCATATGCAGAATCCATACCCTTCAAAGGAACACTGCTGAAGTGTGAAGGAGGTTACTGAACTCAAAGGGAGGATAGAGGGCAACGGGTATGAGGGGCAAGTAGGGTAAAGCAGGAAGTTGATTGCATATAAAAATTATCTGTCCCCATTTTGTAGGTTCTGTTTAATAGGAGATGCAAGGGCTCCCACACACCTGAATACCTGAGGAGTTGGTTATTGTGATGTCTGATACTGGTAAACAAAACTGTGCCCTGCCAGGGTTGTAAAGTAAAATAACTGCTTACAAACCAATTTGAACTGAATGAATTCTCACTGAAACCACCTTCTGAAAAAACTAAATTTAAGACTTTTCTTGATTTCAAGGTTTTCTGTACATGTGACTGTCCCAAATTTAATGCAAATTAAAAAGAAACTAAACAAGTAAAAGTCTCAGCAGATTAGCAATGTCATGGGAAATCTGTCTCTAAACCCAGTCATGATTTCAGATTATCTTTACAATGATACCTCCTCCAGATTGTAAAATACCAAGCAGATAAGAATCAACATTTCCATGACCACAATCAATAATTTAAGAAATGGAACAATGATAAAGCTGCTTGTAAAAGCCACCCGTATGAAAAGAGTACATGTTTCACAAAAATAATTGTTAAAAAAAGTTTTAAATCCCTGTTCCTTTTCTCTGATTTTGGCTGTTTATTTTTATATATATATATATATGTATGTATATATGTATATATATACTGTTTTGGAATGTCAATGGGTTCCAATATGGCTGGCTAGTTTCAAGATGAACTTGCTCCAGAGGCCTAGAAAACAAAGTCATACAGTACAGTCTTAGACAAATGCCAAAGGACAAGTAGAAACTGATCAAAGGGGTCGCTGGAAGCCATAAAGAAAAAAGTGTGAAAAAGTGGTTTTTTGTTTGTTTTTTTTTCTTGTGCCCTGAACAGAAGGTCCTAAATGTTTCCTCGTCTCTGCTATTATTACCTACTTTAAGTACAGCTCCACTTAGGGTGTTTCACTTTTAGAAATAATTGTCATATTCTAAGAAATATCTGCATTTCAAGGGTACTGAAGCAAGACAGTAAAGATTCTACTTCTAAAAGAAGAGGAAAAATAGTAGTAGTAATCTAATTTTCAGACATGCAATTTTGAGACTATGGGCACTACCATTACAGAATAGACTTATGAATGGTTCTATGCCAGACATAACTGAGGTCTTTATTGATGCTTTGGGAGAAGGTATCAGAAATTTAATGGAGGTAACCGCTGTGTCCCATCCTTGTCAGGAAGTGAGATCCTAGCATTTCAAAACCCACTCAACTGGAGCTGAATGCCCAAAAATGGAAAGCCACTTGAGAAAACAAGGCCAAATCAGTTCCAAACAAAACAATCACATGAGCAGCAGAACTGGGAGTAATTCAGCAGGTGACTCCCATGCTGAGCCCCAAGTGCTCAGCATCTTCTGCAGTAGTCCTATGAGGACTTTCAGCCAGTACTGGGCTCAAGTGCCTAGAAACAAGTTCCTACAAGAATAACACCACCCTTGACTTGCAGGTACTTGGTTTGCCCTTTTAGAAGGGGTGGGGTGAATAAAGGTTTTTCACATCCAAGCTTTAGGCAGTCAGGTACAAAAGTATAAGTAGTGGCCTGTGATAGTACCAACAACACTGTAAGTGGAAAACCACTACATAATAAAATTTTGAACTGAAATTTTTGTGCATGTGACTAGAGGGTTTGCACACCCAAAGTCTCAATCATTTTTAATGGCACATTTGCAACTACAGCATTTGGATCACTCTGATAATCCCAACATTAGTGTCTGTTTGAACAGCTAGAATTACTCCCAGAAGAAACAGTAAATGAGCATAGAATTAGTTTTTTCATATGTATAAACACAGCAGCATTTAGGCATAAGCAAATCTAGAAACTGGTATGCCATAATGAAATAGCAAAACACGCAAAGCTACACATCAGTCTATAGCAGGAACCCATTCCAGCTTGTTCAAAAAGTGCTCATGCAAAATGGCTTCATGTACATTGTTGAAAAAAAAGAAATTCTTCTGTTAGCATACACTTATTTAGATTCCATTTGGTTAAAAAATTATCCCCATAGTATGGAAATGACTCAGACCCCAAACACTCTGAGAAAGTAATGGCAGAAAAATATTCTATTTCACAAAATCATATTGCACGATGACAAGTCATACCTTGCCCAGACTGGCTCTCCATTATACGCTCTCTGTTCTCCACCTTCCAAACTTATCCTCCTATCTGTTATCTGTACCATGTATAGTGTTCCTTATTCCAGGCTACTCAGACATGCAATGCCTTCCTAACAGGCACACCATAAGTAAAACAGGCTGCAAAAGCATAAATGATGCATTGTTCACTGTCTGTGCATCTGACAGTGTGAGATGGAAAGAGCACACAAGAGACAAGCAACATAAGTAGTTTGCAATAAAAACAAACAACTGGGAGAAATGTCATTTGAGCAGGTTGAAAGGAATCACTGTATCCAATTCCTTGGCATGGTGTAAGATAATTTGGTGAGGGCTTTAAATGCCCGGTCCTACTTTGCAACAATGGCTGCGCTCAGTAGTGTTCTTCAGGCTTTTGCAGTGAATGTAAGATGAGCAAAAATTGTTCATCTCAGGGCTGAGAAGAGAATAAAGTCAGAATAGCCCACTGAATTTCAGAGCCATCTTATTTTTAGACTAAACAGCAACTGGGGCTGTCTGTGTATACCACACAGCATGCCTCACGAATCCTAATGAAATGATACTGCATTTGTTTCATATGAGACAGTTCCTTTCATCTTACTTTTACAGGAGATGGTCTCAGCTGTGACAAAAACTCTGCCATCCAGGTGATAGGCAAGCTCACAAACAGAAAAAGCAGAACATCTTGAGTGATACAGAGAACAAAAACTTCTCCTGAAGAAGTGCAGTCAGTAAAGACAAAGAGGGAGAAGAAGTAAAAGTGAAACTCTTGGAGGATCGCCACCTCCTCATCTGCACCTACCATTGGTTTTAGCTCTCTGCTCTCAGCTCCACCTCCCCGGCCAGCTTCTTTCATAGATTTTCTACTATTCTCCACAAACTCCTGAAAAACAGTAATGAAACGACAAGTGCTCTCTTAGCACAGACTCTAAAACATCAAGTCTCAAGACAGAACTTCAAGATGCAACTGCTCCAAACATCAAGCCCATCTGCATCTCTTGCTCAGACTTGACCATGAGGTATCAGAAAAGCCTGTCGAATATCCACAGAGGCCTCCCTCATTTAATTCTGGAAGCCAGATAGGTGTTTGCCTGGTGTGCTCTTACAACTTTTCCATGTACCACACAATGCTCTCCTTTAGGGGGAAAGAAGGTAAAAGGTTGGTTGACCAAAAAAACAAACAAACCCAAACCCACAAACCAAAACCAAAAACCAAACCCACAACAAAACCACAACAAACCTCCCCCCAACACCATCCTCGTCTCAACTATTACATTGTAGCCTGTGAGCTGTGTGTAATTTCAACCTCTTAAATTTTTCACCAGTACAATCTCCCATTTATGAAGATTAGCAAAGCTAATTCAATTTTATACAATTTTTTTTCTCTTGCAGGCAAGCATTCTGCAGAAAATTTCAGTAAACTTTAGCTGCTCATGTTTTGTGATATTGATTGCTGACTAAAGAAACCTACAATGCTTTTATGGTTTATTGGTGTTTCTTGTTAAAAAGCAACTCATCAGCCCCTACTTTATTTATTATATACTCTAAATTCTGTTGTGATTTACTAAAAAATCAGCACCAAAATTCTTGGCATAGTTTTCCCACAAGTAATCAGAAAAAAATTATGCTGAGAAGTCACAAGAATCTTCCTCTAGCCTACACATGGGGGGGTATCTTACAGAGATATATTCTACAGTTGCTACTTAAAATCACTCCCAAGAAAACTACCTACTCAACAACAAAGTGAAGGGCTTTGGAAGCAGAATTCTTACAACTTTGTTTCTAGCGTAAAGCCTACATATGACAGACAGAATCAAATTCTGGTTGATGTCTATCTGAAAGAAGTAAAACTCCACTGTGGTCATTATCTATGTGTGAGGTAGAATACTTTGATATTTTTTCTCTTCCCTATCCAAAGAGACGCCCTTCTTAGGAAAGCACAAAACCAAGCCTTTCCCTCTTGTTCTGCTTCTTTCTAATCTGCAGTGTCATTTACAAGACATACCCAAGAGTATGATTCTGCAAGATGACTGCTCATCTAACAGGCAGCAAACAGAAGCCAGTAACAGTGAAACTAAGGGAAGAAAGCATAATTACTTATCTGATGCTCATCAGATTACACTGTTTTCAGGTCAAGCCATGAACAAGGTGGCAAGGTAAAAAAACCCAAAAAGCCAAAAACATTGAACCCAGCAAGTGAATTCATTCCACTGTCAAAATACCTATTTTATGGAACCAGATCCTTAGGCTTTGAGAGCAAGAGGAAACTTACCATGAGAACTTTATCCATGTAGAATTCCCTCCCAGGACTCCCATCGTTGTATTTTGTATCGATGGCAAAACATAAGAAAAGGACATCAACAACCATTTCATAAATAGAAAGGAAGCAGTGAGCAACCAGGAATGCAAAGAGGCAGACAATGATGAGTGGCAGCACCCAGATGGTGTAATCTCGTTGGTAATTCAGCAACATAACACCGGCCAAACCTGTGCTGCAGACAATCAGGACCTGAAGAAGAAAACAGTAGACAACTCTAATGGCAGAAGCCTTTTGATGTTTTTTGCTTGGTTTATTTTTTTAAAGCCAATGTGCTTCTTGGCCTGCCAGGGCTAGAATTAGGGCTTACAGATATTAGTGGTAACAACATCTTTACCTCCTGGGTTCCCCACATCCCCGATTATAAATGACATTTATCCATATCAGAATTGTTACACATCCTTTAATACAAAAGGCATTTTTCAGAGCAAATTATATTTATATTCTGCTGTCATAGTTCTAGTATCATAGAACATTCCTGTAAAAACGAACTTTACCCTGAAATCTCTAAAAGCCCCACAACCTGATGCTACCAATCCCATGCAGCTGTTTTTCGTTGCTTAGAGGGAGAACTTAGGTCTTAAGAGGATGGTACATTTTCCATTTTGCTGCTGGAAACAACTTTCAAACTTGTGCAGTCTTTATCTCACTTCCATGCAGGAGAAAGTAGACCAGAATTCATGTGAGGCACTTCATGTAACAGTCTCCACAGAATTATACTTCATGTGAGGCCCTAAGAGACATTTCACCAGGTACCAGTTTGATTTTGGCAAAACCAAATGGACTAAATTGTTGCGGCCGCTTAACTTTCTGAACATTTCTGACCCTATTATTATGAACTGCAGCTAAACATATAATTGTAAAATAGGCCAGCTTTTATGAAAATACCATTTTGGACTGGTAGAGGAGACGTTGGTAGCCTAGCATTGATTCAGCTGATAGTGTTTTTTACCTGCTGCACTGTTCATTTTAACATTTCTGTCACCTGTGCATTTTTCTAATAATCTGAGAGACAGGGGCGTGTTTCCCAACTCCTCCACAAAACTGCATTATGTAATTTCATGTTCTCCCAAGCACTTATGTCTCCCTTACGTGTTTATTTCTTCTCACATCTTACTGACTTAGTTACTGGATTTGAAGTTCAGCCCACTGTACTCTGACTTAACAGAAGTAGAGGAGTGTAATAAGAAATACAGATGAGTTCAACCACTGTCTGAATGCACAGGTGATTTGTGCCTAATTAATACAAGATTGGTATTAATTGTTTTAGTAAATAATGGCATAAAATCCCTCAAAGGATAGAAATACTACACTTTCCATAAAGTATATCTCCATCAGTTGGAGACCCAAAAAGCTGACTGACCACAGCAACTATTCTAGTCTCCTTTTAATTATCAGAGTAGAGGCAATTTAGTTGCTTAAACTGGCAATTTCTCATAGCGGGCTTTTGTACAATTTGGTCATAAAGGTGATCAGTAATTTGTGAAATTTTCAACATAAGCCTGGAGAGCCCTTACTAAACAGAATTTAAAAGAAATGCTTCCTCTCCTTAGAATTCTATGTTTTAACCACAAAATCAAACAAAACCCTAGAACTTCTAAACACTTTTCTCTTGACTCCCTAAAAAATAAATCATGCAAAAGGTGTCATAATCTTCAAGCACTCCTCTCTAGTCACTTTTACTACATGTCAGTAGATCATTTGTTTATCCTCTCTACACTACAAAGCACCTCCTAATGTGATGCAGCTGGACGTGATAAGTGCACACTAAGAAACAGGATTTTTAAGGCATTTTGTGTTTGGGGTGCAGCCATTGCTAAAGAAAGCTTGCTTCTCTGTAGGTCTGTAAGAACTGTATACAGCAGACATACCTTTCCTAGGAACAGCATAAAATCTCCAACTGTGTTTATGGCAGCCACTCGCAAAGCGTTTTCCACCAGGATAACAAAGGCATCCTTTGCTGAGGTGCAGAAATTGGTGCTGTTGATAGCTGTGGCTGTATATGCATTCTAGGAAAAGGAGATTGAAGACTTATTCATGGAATGATCAGGTATTTCAGATGGAAGGTGGGGAAGGTAAGGGGGAAGATACAGTAAGTCACGTTCGTCATATGATGTTAATGAACCAACATTCCCCTGAGAGCTGTTGAATCAAGCAATATATAGCAGCTGACAGAAGACGATATGAGGTAAAGAACTGCTATTCTTCTTCTCCTTTGCTCATAATTTATGCATTAACTATTTTTTCAAAAAAACCTCATTAAACAGGATTTGCAATTTCTCTGCAGAAGGAGGTGAGCAGTGGCATAGCTACAGAAATTAAGTAGTTAGAAAAAAACCTGGAAATACAAAAGAGTCTGAGAGTCACACAAGTCAAACAAGATAATTTCTAGGTAGTGTAATCAAGGTTAGTCAGGACAGTTTTCAAGGATTACAATGGGGTTTATTAAATGCTTTCTTCTGATTTTATTTTCTATATTTCCACAAGCAAAAAAAATTAACAGTGAAAGAAATGTTAGCAAGATATTTATATATATACATGAGAGATGGACTACAGGCCTACAAACCCATTTTTACAATGGGTCTGACCAGCCAGCGTGTTACAACTTGCAAATTTTCTTCCACTTTGTAGATGATGCTGACGATTTGATGTTTTGTACAGTTTCTGCATTGTGTGAATCTTAAACATTACACCTAAAAAGCTTCATTCTGATTTCATAGGGGACACATTTTGAAATTCAGACATAGTTTTACTGAGTAGACATATGGGAAACATCTCCAACCACTACACAAATCGTTATAAAGTTGAGATACCATGTTCACAAAGACGAGTATTGGCTATCTTTTGTCTTTGTTTACATTGCAAAGGTCAATGTAGTATTTGCAGTGTAATTTCAGTAATGAAGACAAGACTGAAATACTGTCAGTCAAGTTCAGTTCCCCAGTACAATACATTATGTGTCAGCCTCAGATTGCAGCCTGGGAATATATATACTATTATCAGCCCTTATATAAAACATGAATATTGAAAATCTTACCTGATTTAAGTATGTCAGGCACTTTTCTAGACACCAAAGGCAGCAGATGCAGGCTTTAAGCATACAGCGAGCACAAGCATTTTCCTAGGAAAGCACAAAATGTGGGAAAACAAAGATAAAGAGTAAAACCAACAGATCTTAAGAAAATAGTATTCCTTTGTGTTTCAGCAACTGATACTCAGATTGCTAAATTAAGCAATCCATATCAGTCCCATGGTCCTTTAAGGATTCAATATTCACAGAGCCATAGAACGGTTTGGGTTGGAAGGGACTCCCCCCACCATGGGCAGGGACATCTTTCACTAGGCCAGGTTGCTCAAAGCCCCATCCAACGTGCTTTTGAACACTTCCAGGGATGGAGTATCCACAACTTCTCTGGGCAACCTGTTCTAGTGCCTCACCACCTTATAGTGAAAATTTTCTTCATTACATCTAACCTATTCCAAAATAGACTTCCAGCCTCCCACACCGATTAAATTAACAGGTCAACACACCAGGCCTTAATTTTCAGTAAGAAAATGGAACCTATTTCTCTTACTTTTCCTTTGAGTTGTGTTTGAATATACATTAGAATCATTCGTGGTATCTTCACTAGTGTGATAATGAAAGACCCCTTTGCTACTGTTCCTAGGTGGTAACAAACAAGGCGATTAACAGATGCCAGAATAGGAGTAAATGGCAGATTTCTTTTCTCCCTGTTGAAAAGAGGAAAAAAAAAGGAAGTAGAACGATCAGTATGTATGTGGTATCATCTAGAAGTGCTATAAATTTTCAATAAAATAAGGTGCAAAAGGAATATATTATCCTCATACCAGCTTTCAGGGTGTATTGTTCACTCCACCTTGTGTAACTCACAGATTTGTCTCCAATGGAGGAGTAGGACTAGAATAAGGAATCAGTATGGGTAGTGTGGTGGTACATACCCTTCTTCCCCTCTTTGGGCTGCACTAGGATCTCAGAAATTCTCGTTAGGCCTTGGCAAAGACCACCTGGGCTCAGCTCCTCTTGAGTATATCAGAAACACTGTCTGCTCCCAGGAACCTGCCCTGCCTAATGAGCTCCAGTTTAATGAACAGCCTTGGAAACTTGCTTTTTGCGCCTGAATAACAACCTAAGTGGAACATTTTTGTTATTGAACTTTCCAAGAAAGTTACTGACCCAAATTGCAGCAAGGATGGAAAATTCCTATTACTAAAGCAAATGCTCTTGCAACCCTACAAACTCCTGTACCACAGCTGTCTGTGACCAGCAACCTCTCTCTGAGTGGGATGCCTTTCAGAGCCACAGATCTCCCAAGCTTGGTATACTTGGAGGACTGATGTCAAGTGCTGCCAGTGGAGCCTGGGCTGATATCTCCACTCCTCAAAGCTCAACCTTTACCAGCTGAGAAGATGCAAAGGCATCTGATATGAGAACTTTAGTGAACTTGGGGGGAATTTTTCACAGGTAGATACCTTGTACATACTGCTTTAGGCCTGTGTGTGTGCAAGTGTCAGTAAGCTAGGCCTCTAAATGAGTTACTGTTGTGCTTATAATAAATTCTACAGAATCTTTTGCTAAATTGTTTAAATTAGGCTATTGATTAAGTGATTTTTAGTGCTGTTAAAACCTCTAACCCTAAACTGCTGGTTAAATCCAGGGCTAAATTTGGCAAGCCAGTCCACTCTGAACCTTGTGACTCAATGGGAGAGTCTCTGTCATTCCTTTTTATCCATATCCTTTCCCATCCTTATACTTTTTCCTTCCCCAGCCTCTGCATAAATAATTGTAGGTTGATTTTAGTTTTAGTTTGACTGATTTTAGATTTTTAGATTTTTTCCTATTTTTTTCTCTGTGTGCTTTAGCCATCTAGTAGAGTAGATTTATGTCAATGATTTATGTCACACTTTTACGTTTATATTAAAACTACTTTTGCCAATACCTTTGCTGGTGATTCTTTAAGTGACTTAAAACACTAACTGGTGATAGTTAGTTTTACTAGCATTAGCTGCATTACCCACTATTAACACCTAGCAGTTTCTATAAAGTTACATCTGATGGTGTGCAATTCAAACCTTACAAAGAAGTGAGAAACAATGCCAGTATTTTTTTTAGTCAGATTACTTACAAACTTGCCTTCTCCTTTTCTCTTGTTCTGTTGGAGATCTTTATGTAGACTTTGGAGAGGATGTAACTAATTTATTAGGTAAATTCTTCTTCTCAGATTTTTTGCATTTCTGATTTAGCTGTTATATCCTCAAGACACCAAGTGCTGGGCCTTAAACAAGTTACTTAACCCAATGCAGCTAGAGTATTTTTAATTTATCAGATGAATACTCACTTTCATGGTTTGAAGCTACTCCTTCTTAGAGTGTTTATTTTTCTTTCCTACCAAGGAAGCCAATTCTATTTCTCTCTTAATGAACAGCTCTATTAACCAGTTAAAGAATGGCTCTTCTTCTTTATTAGAAATAAAAGCAGGATAATAAGCATATTAAAGGAACATGTGCTACACATTACAAAGATAAAGTATCTCCCCATCTCAGGAAGAGATGTGAGTTTCATTCAGAAAAGGTAAAAAAGTACAGCCTTCATTCCATGAAACTAATATCTCCATAACTTAATCCTGAGATGTTAATGATTAAAATAGGTTAACCCTGTATTTTCTTTCAGTTGACTTTTAGAGCTGAAGGGGTGGGAAGCCAAACTCTACTCCTTGTTGGGAGTAGAATACGCATAAATAGTTTGAGTCTTACACCCTGACAACCTAAACACTTCCTTGTTTTCAGGTAAAAAGTTTCAGGTTCCTCATTACCAGGGCAGAGTCTATAATTCAGAACACTTTTGAGCTCTGTTATTGCCTGAGTTGGAAGAAATCCATCTGGCTCAGGTGAATGAACAGTGACCTCATATAAAACATTTCTCCATGGATAACTTCATCTCATTTGCTGTGGAAAGTTGCTCATATGCAAAATAATGGGTCAAAATTAATGCCTTTTCCTTTCTTACTAAGTCACTTTTTAGATTATGGTTGTACCTTAAAATACAAAAAGAGGATAACAGTAGAGAGAAATGAGTATTTACTAACTTAAAATAAGATTCCTGTTATGGAATTATAGGGTATGGTTAAAATAAAAGTAATTCACCCTCAGGTGTCAGAAAATACATAAACTTACAGATAAAGCATACATGTTGCTAAGCAATCTATTTCAATGCAATGTCTTTCTCTTTCCTCTGTATTTTCCTCACTCTTCACTCAATCTATTTTAATTATTCACAAGATTACATCCCTGTAACATCTTGTAATAATTTTATAGATGTATTTCATTGGTATACTGGAGGACTTAATCATTAATAAAACAACAGAATTTCTGACAGCACAGTAAATTGATTCCTTGCCTTTGATACTGTTTAAAGACTAGGGCAGAAAAAGGACTCAAATGTAATTCAGGTAACAGCCTCAATTAAAAAGACAAACCAACTAAACACTCATGATCTGAATTATGCCACTTGAAAAATACCTGCATACATTATTTAAAAAACATCTATTTTTTTAAGGAACAGACTCTTAAAAGCACATGGCAAGAACAGAGTTTGGTTGCTGGACATCAGTACAAACTTTTACATACAACAATCTTCATATGAAAGCCTAGAAACAAATACCAAAACCCAATGGCTGAACGCATGAGTTCAGGATACTAATGCTCTTTTTCACTTGGGGATAGCATCACTCCAATATCTGTACGGTTTTCCCTTTCTTAAGTAAAATACCATTGCTAAATATCTTCCCAATGTATTGTACTCGTGCTGTTCTTTATTCAGAGGAGTTGTATTTATATTGTTTGGAAAAGACTTTGAGAACATCTGAAATAAAATTAGTTATCTAGTCATTACAACAATGAAGTGGTTTGTGGGGTTTTTTTTAAAGAAATATATGAACTACTAGAATCTACAATGACATGTGGAGAAGTTTCAGTCAACTATATCTCTCCAAAGTAAGTAATGATGTACTTTCTTCTTTCCCTTACCAAAAATAATGCCATAGTTCTGCTCCACATACCAAAATTTAATATATCAGATCACCAAAGTACCATTTATTCTCATGAAACCCTAACAGAGCATCTGATACCACCTTTTTTTTCTGAAAAACCTGCGTCCTAAATGGCTATTTAAGCCACATATTAGTGACTTATTTAAGATAAAATTTTAAGCAATATTAAATTCAAAATGTTTTCAGATACTAGAGGCTAAATCTAAGTTTGCAATTCTGAAATTAGCTCTGTAAAGCACAATTCTTGCTTTGTAAAACCATTGCCTAATAATTAGTTTTTCTTTCTTGGACAGCCAGCAGATACATGCAGAACAGCCAGCACAAAGTATGCCCTGATACACAGTTTAGTTCACAAATTTAGCAATGAAATATGGAGCTTTAATGCACATATAGTTTATATCATTTTTTATTTTTATATAATCTTGACATAATCTACATGTAAGTGATGAATCTAATAAAACCTCTGTGAAAGAAAGATTAATGAAGATTAATGAAGCACTGTAAATAATTTAAAGGGCACTCTTTTGCAATTAAAATAATAATCAGATGTTGTCAATACTTTTTTAATCTCTACAGAATTTATCAGCATTAATTATTAGCAACACAGATGACCTTCCAGGTGCATCCTGCTTTGTAAACAACTATCCATGCCTGTACAATGTGCACAAGTTACAAGGCAAATGAGACTTCAAGTCCTAAATGTCAAGAACACCATCTATAATCAGCAAAACAGGTATTTTAGGACTTCACGTGATTTAAAAAGAGTCAAGACAATTTAATGGCTCCCCAGCTTTCACGACAGAAACAAGTATTCTCCCCAAGACCTCTGTCCCTCATTATTTCTGCAAAATCAATGTCTAGGCAACTCCTGGTAGAGCTATCTAAGTTGTCCTTACCTTGTAAAATAGTATGTCACAACAGCCCCTGCTACTGTCATCTGCTGACAGGCTAGGATAAACTCGCTGATCCAGATGAGTCCTACTGCATGGTACCACCACATGTATTTCAAAGGACCTACCATCCGAAATTCGACAAATCCTTCTTCATTTGGGACAGGACTACCTAGAAATAAATGAGGGTGAAAAAAGAAGATGGTGCTTACATCAGCTCATAAATAAGGAAGCATATGGCACTGGCAGGTCACAAGCAGCTACAGCAGAACCCATCTAGCTTCTACTAACAGTTTTAAATGTCATGTTTAAGAAGATTGTTCTTAATAAAGATGCAGCTTTTGAGACAATCAGTATAACGGCACTTGAAAAAAGCCACAAAAAAATATTCTGAGCATGCTCAAAATCCTGCAACACTTCCTTTAATTTTCAGCCACATGGTGAAAATTTCCACAATGAACCACCATCACATGGCAAAACCCCCTATAGTTCAACATAATAGAAGCCTACTTCAGTAATTCTTAATTTGATTTTGCTGCTTTATCAGTATTATTCATACAGCAAGAATCAATATTAAACTTCATAGCTCCTTACATCTATATGTCAACACTAACAATCACTTTTGCTTTCCTTATGGTAAGTCTTTGTACAAGTATTTCAACAGTGTTTGCAGTTCTAAAGCTATTTACAGACATATGGAACAGCTGTAGAGATTCTAAACATACGATTTCATACATTCAGAAATTCACTCTTTGTCTAATGTGAATAGCAGTATCACGTACAGAGACTGACCTCATGCCAGAACACTCCTAACTGATAACAGTGATGATAATGAGTGTATATAAGCTAAAAGGATAAATTAGCTTTTACAGAATCAAGGCTAGTTGAAGGGTTCTGTCAGTAAAATATAATATCAGACTAAATTCTGCTACAAATTTAGTGCCCGTGCAGTGACCTGACTCAGAGAGTGAAGCACAGGGCTGAGACTTTCAGAGGTAAACATTTTCTGCACATCACACACCATGTAATGAAAGCTACAAATTTCAACAGTAATGAGAACAAGAACACATGAAGTGTTACCTCCAACCCTCACTAAAGAACTCAGGATATGAAAAAAATACTCGTATTATTGTGAAATAGCTTTGCGACCTGAAACACTGCTACTTTTGGATCAGCAGTAAACACCACATTTAAAAATTCTTAGATTTGAACAGTGAATGACGGTCTCTATCGCCTGCAATGCACTGCAAAATAACACAGACATTTCCCACTTTAAAAAGCATTTGCAAAGTTTCTCTGCTGAAGTGACTAAGATTTGGACCTATAGGACTGACTAATTCTAGAAGGTCTTGTCAGACCCTGAACACAAACAAAGCTTTCACCTTTTATGGTCTTCACAGCAGGCTGGAATTAATTGGCTAGTCTCAGAATACAGTGTACAAAGAGCAGAAGAATCTCCCTAATAATTGTGGAATAATAATGGAAACCTAAGTTACAAACAACTGAAAATGAATTCCACTATATTTACATTGTGGGAGACAGCAATTCTTTGGAACAATCCCTTCATTACTGTGCCTTCATCTGGCTACCATACAATTACTTGGAGAGATCAGCTGCAAGATTATGCTGGTTTTAACTTGCTTTTGTAAAATTAGATGGAATTATTGAAAAAACTGTTATAGAAGTTGTATTAACAGAGTCTTGTGGTTTGCAACATGCCAACTTCCATCAAAACAAAAAGCCAGTCTAACACACAAAGTACCATGTGAGAATGCAGACTCAAATGCACAATAACTTTCTTGAAACAAGCGTTTTGAAGTCAGTGAAGCAGGTGAGAACAGAAGCACAACAGGTGGGCTTTTTTCCTTAGAGGTTCCCACATGCTTTTTAGCCAACTCTGCTCAAAAACATACAAAAGTTAGGTGAAATTTATTTAAAATAAGCAACAGATGCTTACCTGTAGTACCAAGGAAAAGCAGGACTGTGATCCAGTATGCCCAGAAGAGGATAAGCACAAAGAATGTCCAAAATGGCTGGAAGACTAGCAGTGGCAGGTGAATGAAGACCTTGCCGGCCACGTGGAACAAGGCAATGGTGAGAGCTACTCTTTTGCGCATTATTAGCATGATCAAGAATAAGATAACCTAGAGGGAGAAGTTTCCAAATCACATTTTAGAGAACTGAAAAATAAGCGAGCTATTATTTCACAAAGCTAGGATATTCAAACACGCTAAATTTAACACATTCATAAGATCACGAAATCAAAATGTAGCTTATTCTGTTAGCTTATTCTGGTGATAAATTATTTTCCAGGTTATATTTTTGTGGAATTCCAATCTCATAATTATGTATTTGAAATCATCATCAGCCTTAGGCTGATGAGATTAGACTAGATTCTATCCCCAATTATGTTGTACAAACCAGTGAAATCAGCAAGTTTTAACAAAGAATACAATTTAACATTTATATCTGACCATGGTGTGGTGGTCTTGTAGTATGTACGTATCTATAAAAATGCAGGGAGTAAGAATTTAGGAAGGGGAACAGAGAGGGACCTTTCGATTAGGATGTGAAACAAGAAGAAGAGCAAAAGAGGGAGTCTACAATTCCTGGGAAGTTAGTCAAACATTGTCAATTTTTAAAAGTAAAGTCAGTGACTGTGAAATTAACAGCAGGGCCCAAACAAGGTAATCAATGTTAGCATTTCAGTTCACAATGATTCTTCTGTAAGCGGAAAAAATTTCGGAACAACTAATTTCAAGAAGTAGGAATGTCCTAAGGACTTTCAGATACACTAAAATGACTAAGTACCTCTGAACTGGGAACCTAAGAAAAATCTCTTTGGATTTGCAGTCCAATATTGTACCTATTCTTGGAAGTCCCTGTGGACATTTTACAGTAGTCGAAAGTAGCTGCAGGGTTTAGAAGGTCTCTCCTGACTCAAAATCAGATATTAGGGAACAGTTCCTGAAAGTTAAAAAAATAAAATAACAAAATAAAAAAAAAAATCACTGCAACAGAACTTGTGGCAGAAATAAACTGTTCAAAAATGTCTGCAATAAAAACCTTTCCCCTGAATAAAAAAAATTAGAGACCAAAAGGAAGTCAGAACAAGAAAATAGTACACTCATTAGCAAAGCATACCGTGAAGACCGTAGCTGCAATGGCATAGATCAAGAGAGCCTGAAGATTGTCTTTGGCTATTTGAGTCTCAAGAGCACTGGCAGACATTCGTTTCTTAGCATAGAGCCACCACAGGACTCCTGTACCACCTATGTTTTAGTGAGAAAGAAAAAAAGGATAAATGAAAGTTTAGTCTGGTACAGAATACTCAAGAGCACTGATGCTCAACCCAACAGGAACTTCAGGGGAGGGAGAAGTGCTCTGCTCTCCTCTGTTGCCCTCCTCTGCAGTGAATATACTCTTTTCACAGTCTCACCCCACTACAACAACTTAAGAGACTTGCAGAACCTTGACTTCATGTTTTAGGGTGAAGTGCATGAAAGAACTAGTTCATGAGGAGCCCCAACAACAAAAAACACAGCTCCCACTAGACAGGTAATGGAGGAACAAAAGGAATAAAGAATTACATGGGTGGATGTATTTATGTATATAAGTGTAGGGAGTAAGAATTTAGAAAGGGGAACAGAGGGACTTCTGGATCATGATGTGAAGTAAAAAGCACAGGAGGCTAATAATAAGTGAGGTACAATCTTCTAACCACTGTTACAAAATCCTAGCCTTGTTGCCAGAATATTATTCTCCCATTCTAGCTGTCTTTCTGAGACAGAACTTTTCTAAAGGACAGGTCTCCAGCCCCTCAGGGATATAACCTCTCCCCTCTGATACACTTTTTTCTCTTTTGAGCATGTGTTTCTTGTTATTTCTGAATCAAATGCATAAGCTTAGCAGGGGGGTTGTACCAGATAAGCCTCTGTAGTCCCTTCCAACCTTACACATTCTGTGATCACAAGTTTATGCTGAAGGTACCCTGTTCAGGTCTAAAATGAAGAATGCTCTTTTGGCATCTCCTAAACAAACAGTGAAGACAGAACAAGCAGTATGTCTCACAAGTGACTGGTTCTTATTCAGTTTCTGTATTGGATGAAACTTTTTAGAACATAGTAACAGATGCCAATAAGGCACTCAGCATAGCTGATCAGCTTCTAAAAAGAATATCAATTAAAAAAAAAAATTATTTATTTCTTTTCTGTGGTCACAGGCCCTGAGACCAATAAGCAGAAAAACAAAGCGATTGTGAAAAAATACAGAAGGTCTGCTGATTTTTTTCATCCCTTGCAGACATGAATTGAAAGAATTAAATCACTAGTGCTTCCTAACATGATTATTCTACTTTTATTCCTGCCCTTCAGTCATCTGCCCACACATTTTGGCTTAGCTACTGAGTAACAATAATAGAAAACTTCAGTTTTACAAATTTTAAAGTTATTGTGATAAAATAAGGCTATTTTCATGCAAACTACATCATCTTGGAAGAGACAATCTTCGGCCACTTCCAATACAGCATGGCATTTCACACGTGACCTAGGCCATGCAGGTCTTCCTGAGTCATATGGAAATACACAGATCTGATGAGGAACGCTAGGAAAGCACCTTTGCCTTCTCTCTTCAAGAACAGGTCTTAAAGAGCTACTCAGAGGACTGAAGGGGCTGATGAACATGTCAGGGTTGTAAACATGTCAGGCTGCATAAACAGCAGCTGCCCTTTGATTCCTGCATGCCTGAATACACCTGTGGGGTGGGTGTGCCATCAGACACACCCGGACTAGATGCTGTGCTGACATATTTAGAAGGCCAGTTAAGAACTGCAGGCAACATTTAGGGCTGTGCTACAAGTGCTGTGAGAATATCCCACACTGATTGTGTGGGCTCCAGTGAGCTAGGCTAACATGAAGCCTGCCTGCCAAGCAGGGAGTGCAAATATCCAAGGAGCAACGTAGTCTCTGGGAGAGGACTGCAATTACTAAGGTGCCATTTTGGATGTGTATCTTGAAAGGGACTCAATTTAAAGCTGAGGGGAAATGCATGGCCCAAGATCTGTGCAGGATGTAGCTGGCCTGATGACACAGAGCACAAACTGGGCACTCAGAAACTGGGAGACAAACAAGACTTACCAAGTGATCCCAGAATGACAAGAATTGTTACAATCCAGACAAGTACTCTTGAAATGTACCTTATTATAACCATCAAAATCATGGACAACACTGCAAAAGAAGACAAATAAAATAAGCAGAGCAATTACTTCAAGTAGAAACAGCCTTCCTAATTTTCCCACTGGGCTACGACAACTGCCTTCCAACAGAATTCTCACACAAAGATTTCTTTTCCGAGGCCTACGAACTCACTGAACAATAAATAAAATTAGGCACCTTTACAACTTCTGCTTTGATACTGTTGATTGAAACAAAGAGAGCATAAATACACTTACATGATACATTAAATACAAGACATAATGCGTGCACACAGACAGGGGGGTACTTAGACAATGACCAAACAGACAGCAGGACATGATAGTAGTTCGAGTTTGGTAACATGAGCACACCTCCTGAGGACCAGAGCAGAATTTGCACTCAAATACACTTGTCAAACAGGTGCAGTTAATATGATGCCTGTGTATTGCAAAATGTCATGCCAGTCACGGGTAAAAAACTATTACAGCTAACTAAGGTTAAGTGAGTGGTGTGTGCAACTGCACATTCATATTTTTACATATACATGTCTGTATTCAGCAGTTACGTGAAAGCCACTGGAACCTGGCTTTCTGAATCACAGTCTAGCACGTTGTTTTAAAATAAATAATTTCTGTTTAACTATGAAGTTATGCAAACTATTTTTTAAATTAACTGTATGTAAACTCTGTACTAACTTCTGACTCTTAACTGAACAGTAGCACTGCTAATGAGCCACCAGCTTCTAGATTCTGAACAATCTTTCTACTGTTATTATCAAATACTGGAACTTTCAAGACAGAAGAATAAACAGCTTTCCAGTTACAGTTGAAAACACACACCAAGGTCTTGTGTGTGTGTGTCTTTTTTTTTAATGGTATCTACCACCTTCTTTTCTTTTTTTTGTCCCCTTTCTTTTTCCCTTCCCCTCAACTTTTTTTTTTTTTTTTTAACCACAAAGGCAGACTGAAAACAAAGGACTGTTATATCTAGCAGAGCTTTGCAGTGTTTCTATCTATACCACACACTGCTCATATACATGGCTACTATCTTGATCCTCCCATTTTAGTATTTCAGATTTTATACTTGGTATGAGTAAAGTAGGCTCACTAGGTAAGCAGTTTATGTGGGCAGGTAACATTCCATCTTAAACAACAAGACTTGTGTTAAAGCAATACTTGGTCCAGTGCAAAGTGTCACTCTATAGGCATCTCACAACTACAGAAACTATTCAGCACCTCTGTACTGCTGGGAATTTCCAGCTCTTCAGACAAGGCTCAGATTTTAAAGGCCTTAAGTTTTAAATTTTGGGGGAAAGGGAAGAAGGAACATACAATACAACAAATAGGCACCTAACTTTCTTGTTTTCACTCTGATAGTTCTCGTATCCCTGCACAAATATGTTAAATAAAACAAACTAAATCCCCTACATTCAAAAGGAGTGCGCTGTTGTGGACTTCTCACCCTGTTCTTTTTATTTGGAAAGGGTTTATTTGGACCTGGATTAGCAGAATGACTACTGCGAATGGGAAAGGGGAATATTATAATAAAAATTAGGAAAATGGAGATGCTCTCTTAACCATATCAAAACTAATGTTAGGTAATCAACAGCCATATGTCCTCTATCCTGTAATCAGTGGAAGAGAAATAAAAACAGGAATGCATATGTATATTGCTTCTGAAAAAGTTACCCAGATGTCAAATAAAATTTTAAAAAAGCATTCTGAATAATTTCTAAGGGCTCATTGCTATTATACATGGTTTTTGCTCATATTTTGGTAGAGGGTGTTAACAATCTCCTAATGCAGTACACTAAGAAATAGCTAGTAATGAGAAAAACAATTACCTAGTGATAACAAGCAAAGTCCCATTATAATCTCTTTGCTGGTCATAACTCCACTAATCAGCCTGTGTAAGACACTACTGTCACTGACAAAGGTGATCAGGGCCTCTGCAAACTTGGCATAGCAGGAAATGTTCACAGGAGCACAGCGATGGAAGAATGGAATAGGTGCACTGGTGACACAAGAAAAAAAAAATCAGAAAAAAAAATTACTCCTACTTAATATAAATGCCACATCAACACACAAATGAAAGGTGAATAGATGCAATCATTCCACCCTCATAACATCATAACCAGAAACCATGCGTTGAATGCACAAGTGCCGCTGGAATGAGGATGATCATAATGGGAAGTGATGCAGTTCTTACAAATAACCCTGTGAGACTGGAGTATACAAAATTATTACCCTCCCACCATTAAACGACAAGGCTCAGAAAAAGTATGTTCCTATTTCCACTTAAACATCTCTCATTCAAGTGTCAGGCGGTGAACCAGCAACTGAAACAATGCCTTTCACTCATGTTTGAATAAAATACTGTCCCTTACATGCAGCAAAAGAAACCACAGAATAACAGTACTCTTCTTGAAAGCATACATTTTGTGCTAAAGGACATCAGCGTTTACAACTGCTGCCAAGAAAAAACAGTGTATTTATTCCTATTCATTCCCCATATTAAACTCGTTCTTGTATTAAAGATTACAATCACAGTGTTTGCTTTCATTAACTTTGTTAAAATTATGCAGAATATGCAAGGATGCTTCTATTGTTTTCAACTGTTTTGGAAGCATCCTCCAAAAAACTACTGAGACTATGCACTAAACTTTGCAGAATGCCTGGAAGAACCTGTAATCAAGTCCATCAGGGAAAGATACAAGACAGTAAAAACTTTATTTTAAAAGTGGGTAATTTTATTTTCTAAATGTTTCCCACTAAGTAGCTGTCTTTCTTGCTCATAAACTATGTCAGATCTCAAAGTGGCCTATTACATCATTTGATCAATTCCCAATTACATTTCAGACAAGAATTACATGTTCCTTCCTGTAACTGGATCTCATGAAAGTGTCTTTCATATTATGTCAGTCTTCTCTTCCAGCCTCTGTATTTGTTTCACCCTGCCCAATTTTCGTTACTTAAAAGATTTCAGTGGACTGTAGCAGCAATGCACATAATCTTCTGCAGTTTCCCTATTTCAGTAATGACCTATAAACCAGCAATTTTCTGTCCTCAATAACTATTTTTCAAGCCCACGCCTTTCCAAAATTTTAACCATTTTAAACAGGTAGTGAATAAAGCAGCTGCCTTAGGCACATCTTTTCTATACGTTGGGTTTTTTGGGGAAAAAGGATGACATGCTGAAAACCATTAATGTGTAATTATTCTGTAAAGAAATTGGGAGAAATTATGATCACCTGCTATACCTTAGTAATTAGTAGATCCTAGGTTTTTGTTTAAAGTCACTGATGATTGCAAATCTTATTGTTCTAAACTTACTGTGCTGAGTAGGTAAATGCATTCCAAAATGCTCACACTGATGGTCTACTTTTGTAGTAATGAAGACAGCAGTTAAGCACAGCAAAAAAGTAATTGTGGATTAGTCACAGTTCTTAAAAAACAAATTAAACTCATAATGATGGCTGCCCCATTTAAAAGGCAGCCCATGTATTCTTTCAGCCTCTTACAACATAACCTGTTTTGGAACATGCAGTGTACTGCAGTTCATTATATGCAGTATTACTGGAAAAGACTGAAATTTGAGAGGTTTATTTAATTGTTAACTGCTACAATTTTGCAGGAAGCCTAGAGCATTTAGAAGTTGTCAATATCAGTAATAGAGCTCAAATTTTGAGCTGGAAGTAGGCAAAAGAATGTCATTCCTGCATTCAAACATAAAACCATCCATCTTGAAAAAAGAACTATTTGGACTAAAGTGCTCTTCCAAAATATATTCCAACAGAGGAAAATACGCTTTTTGCATGGTAGTTTATATTACTGCTCATCTAATATCCCTTAGCCCATAGCAATTTTACTAAATATTTTAAGTTACTTATTTTCATGTGCCGTGATTAATTGCTAACTTTGTTTTAATTAATAATAAAAAAAATGAGGTTAGTGGTTTCTACAAGCTTTCTTGAGCAAATGGGACTCCTGAAAATCCACCTGAGATCTGTTGCTGCTTCAGTGGTTCTGACTGAATGAGTATGTGAGGTGAAGTCTCTTAATAAAAAATACAATAATAGATCTATTCTCCATGACCCATGCTATTTTATATGGCCTCTTGATTATATCTTGGTATATTACCTACTGAAAAGGAATTAAAAATTTCTAAGAATAGCAACATGATGCTTATTCATAAACAAGAACGAATAAAGTTCAAGCCAGCACGCAATGGTCTTAGAAGTTGTATTTTTAAAGCAATATTGAAATTAAGTTAGGAGATCCATCTGATTATTCAATTACTAGATTCCAGAGAGTTTTTTCCTCTCACTACTGCCCCTGGGCAAACACAGCAACCTGTGTGAGGGGAGCCTAGTTGGAGTGCCACTGTTAGCTGCTGTTTACAACCTCTACAGGGCAGCCCCTTGGCACAGCTCAACACATCTGGTTGCTAAAGGGACTGGACAGGTTTTCCTCCGGGGTCCTCAAAACAGTGAAGTCATGCTCTCCTGAGGCTGATATAGGCTGGGTATGGTTTCTGGAAGAAACATGTACTGCTGATTGCACTGCTCTGTCAAAAGTTGGACATAATGCCTTGAAGCTGGACGGTAAGAATCCATTGAGAGCCTCAGCTGAAGGGTGTGAAGAAGTCTGGTCATCAAACAGAAAACATCAAGGGAGAATCCTCACACCATTGTGCTACCTCCCTCCCATGGACATCATGGGAATCAGATGGTTCATAACTTTTGGCAGACTGTGCTGGTTTCAGCCAGGGTATAGTTAATTTTCTTGGCAGTGGCTAGCATGGGGCTGTGTTTTGGATTTGTGCTGAACACAGGGTTGATAATATAGAGATGTTTTTGTTATTGTTGAGCAGGGCTTACACAGAGGCAAGGCCTTTTCTGCTTTTTGTACTGCCACACTGGGGAGGGATTTGGGGGTGCACGAGAGGCTGGGAGGAGACAGAGCTGGGACAGGTGACCCAAACTGATCAAAGGGATATTCCAGACCATAGGACATCATGCTCAGCATATAAAGTGGGGGGAAGAAGGAAGAAAGGGGGGATATTTGGAGTGATGGTGTTTGCCTTCCCCAGTAACCATTACATGTGATGGGGCCCTGCTCTCCTGGAGATGGCTGAACACCTGCCTGTCCACGGGAAGCAGTGAATTAATTCCTTGTTTCCCTTTGTTTGCCTGTGTGGACCCATAGCTTTTCTCACTTTCACCCTTCTGATTCTCTGCCTGATTTTACTGATGGGGGAGTGAGCAAGTAGCTGTATGGTGCTTGGTTACTGGCAGGGGTTAAACCAAGACACAGATCAAATCTGAGTATTAGGTAAGTTCTCCATGAGTGCCTCAGTCTACAAGGTGTTGGGTTTTCATTTGGTTGTCTCAACAAATGACTGATTTCATTTCTCCTCCTTACTCAAATAATTTAACTATAAAAATCTGAAGAAAGGTGCTTTACAGATACAGTGCTGGCCTTTTTTGTCTTAGGGTACTAAATTCAGACTTTTCAACCTCAAAAATACTCAAACATAGTGTACATTTTAGTATATCACATAGAAAAGGGAAAATACTCCACTTTACACAATAGGTTTTTAAAAATAACTTAGGGTCATTTCTGTGAGGAATTTAAATAGCATCATTAGAGCTCTGACACATTGTTCTATACTTCTGTTTTTTTATTAAGCCATATTCATTGAGACTGAATGACATGGGAACATACAATGAGAAAAGTCAATATAATTCTGGCAAAAATTAAGACTAACAAGCCTTTTCAGTATGCAAGCTGGCAGTGAAGTTTTCATTTGGTTTTGTATTACTGCTATAACAGCTGGTTAGCTGCATGGAACATGAATCTACTGTGGGGAATAGTAAAAAAAAGTTAATATTTCAGATGCCACTAATTGTCACTACAATATAAAAAAATATTCACTGGAGACACTAACATGTAAACAAGAAAGACTGCAAATCAGAGTTTCTAGAACTGACAAAAACACAATATTTACTCAAACCATAACAGAAAACTATTCATAGGAAAAGACTTGCAGTTACAACCCACTAATGAGCATGTTTGAGAAGCTAAACTTTGAGAAAACACAACATGGTTCTTCCTGAGTTAGAATTACTGACAGAAGGGTGTGCACAACAGCTTACATATGACTTCTTTTCTCAGCAACACTCATCTCCACAGGTCCAGTGAGCACAGCTAGAAGAGTTTATTAAGCTATCAACTTTTCTATCCTATTTCACAAAAAGCAGTCTAACATATTATTTAAAACAATAAAATTCAAAATGATCTGTTTATAAAATACAATAATCTCTTTGGTGCTTGACTATCCTCTAATCATTTGGGGACTAAAAGAGTAAAAAATGAAGCAATTTTCATCTGGCTGGCTGAGGTAAGGTAGAAGTGAATGCTGCAGAGAGCTGTGTGTCCCTATATACTTTGTCCTCCCGAAGATTAAAAGTGTTTCAAAATTGTCTCTGATCTGCATTGCTGACAGGTAGCTGGCTATAGATAGGGTGAAAGGCAGTAAAGCAGCTGATACGGTACAATGTCAGTCACATGAGACAGAAGAAAACCTGCAGATACCAGCTTAATACCCTCAGTAACACATGCACAGATAGTTTGGGTTTTTCTTTAAGAGTTGCTTTCACAACCTTTTAAAAATACACTAAAACATCTGGTAAGAGTAAATGTGTGCTGTGTATTTTCTAAAGAACTGTCACAATCAAACCAAATCTCTGCTCCCTCCATCCCCAATCAGACAAGATGTTAATATTACCTCTCTGGAACAGGATATTTAGGACACAACTTGGCAGCCCTTGGGTCTGTAGTATACTCTGATGACTGCAGTTCATAGCTACACAGAGTAGATCCTGTTGAAAAGGAAAAAAAATATTGACGTGGGGAAAAAATAAAAATCCAACATTCACATTCTTTGCAAATGGTATTAAAACTGATACAGGTCCTGATTCTGCAGCTCTTCATGTTATTACCAGGAGGTTTTGCTACAGTTCCTCCTGTAATGTAGCAGTGAATCAAACTCAACACAGTCTTCAGCGAAACAGAATGACACTCTCCACCTAGCTTAGGGTTTTCGTAAGTTTGGGTATTTGAGTGAAAAAGGCTAATTCACATTGCAGTGTAAAAGAGAGGGAGACAAAGTACTTCCAAGTCACCCTCCCCTGCTATTCCACCATGCTTTTTTTGATCATTTTTAATGCATGAACATTGCATAACACAACATTCACGACAGAAAGAAAATATTCTTGACTTTGGGTTGGGTTTTTTTTCATGTTTTCACAATACAACTGGTCTACAGATTTCAGGGAGAGGAACAAAGAACTAAAACAGATGAAGTTAGAAAGCTGGCCGAAAAATAACAGAAGCTATGCATTAGATATCCAGATCTTCTAACAAAGCTGAACTCTCTCCATAAACAAATTGGTTCAGCACAACAAAGATCAAGTTGCCTATAACAAAATTCAAACATAATTTAATTTTTTCTTTGTATCTGACTCTTGCCTAATGGAAGTACCTTACCTAGGAGAGATTTCCTTCCATTTATCTACAATCAAGACACTGAAGATCTGACCCAATGCTTCTAGGACTACAGCAACTGCTAAATCAGACTGTAGCACTGGTATCTCAGAATTGCAGAGGTAAGAAAGTCTCCAATGATATAAGCTGCCTATCCAAATATGAGTTTCCTCCCAAGCTTGTTTGCCAATAGATTGCTTATTTCCTAGTGCAAGTGCCCTGAATACATAGCTTTTAGTGTCCTTTTTCCCTTTGTAATAAACTAAGGACTTATCTTAATAAGGACTTATCTTAATCTTGGTCATCAATATAAATATTCACTTCTGTCCATTATGAAATACTCCTCTTCAGAAATACTCTGTAGAAGAGAGTTCTACAAACCAGGTCTGGATAATACATACACACTACTACCCAAAATAAACCAAGACTTCTGACAAATAGTTTTATCTTAGCTTGTGTTACACCAAACAGAAGTATTAATTGTAGAAACTGTAGAGTATTATTTGCAGAACCTTTGTTTACCATTGCTACATTTCTACCTCTATAAAGAGACCTTTTATATTTACAGACTGAAAGAGAGGAGACAGAGCAGCTGAGCAGGCTATCTCATGCAGTCTCAGGAACACTACTGAAATACCACTTCTACAAAGTAGTTTTTGAGAGCCAGTGCAAAACATCAAATGCACCACTGAAGAAAGCTAGAGTTCCTGCAAAGAGAAGGTATCAGGTAAAACACATGAAATATATTTTCAATTATACTATTTATGTGCCTCTACTTTTTAATGTGGAAAACATGGCATCAGATAAACAGACAGACAGAACAACATTCCTTACATAGTAGTTGTAAATGTAGTAACTAAAATACTTTGTCAGAATTTGGAGAGAAGGATCTACACTGCTGCAAAAATTCTTGTAGGTATGAAAACTTTTGGATTAAGTGAATTTACTAACAACTCCATAACTTAATGGAGAGGCAACAGTAGGGAGTGTCACAAGATTATCTTAAAAAAAACAGAAGGAAAGAGAAGATTGCAGATATTTACATTTATTTTGCTTTGAATATAGGCCAACACCTAAGTTATAGAGATGGTTGACAGCTGGCTGAACATGAGCATGCATGGTGCCCAGAAACAGATGCTCAGACAGCATCCTGGCCTGTATCAGCAATACTGTGGCCATCCAGTACAGGGCAGTGATCATCCCCCTGTACTCAGCACTTAGTGAGGCTGCACCTTGAATCCTGTGTTCAGTTCTGGGCCCGTTACTTCAAGAAAGACCCTGAGGTGCTGGAGCGTGTCCAGAGAAGGGCAGTGGAGATGGTGAAGGGTCTGGAGTACGAGTCATATGAGGAGCAACTTAGGGAACTGGGGTAGTTTATTCTGGAGAAAAGGAGCCAAGTGGGGGTCAGTCTCTTTTCTGAGGTAACAATCAACAAGACAAGAGGAAATGGCCTCAAGTTGTGCCAGGGGAAGTTTAGACTGGGTATTATGAGAAATTTCTTCACCAAAAGGGTGGTCAAACATTGGAACAGGTTGCCCAGGGAAGTATTTGAGCCACCACCTGTGGAGGTATTTAGAAGACATGTAAATGTGGAGCTTAAGTACAAGGTTGACAGTGCTGGGTTTACTGTTGGACTTGATGATCTTAAGGCTGTTTTCCAACCTAAGTGATTCTATGGTTGTATTCCTTGAATCTATGACTCTGTAACAAGAACAAGGAGGAATCAGGATGTGCTGCAAAGGCCTCCACACCCAGACAAGCCTAAGGGACAGGGCTGATCTGTGGATGCCCATGCTCCCTTTCAACTTCCAGCAGTTCAAGCAGGAGAGGAAAAGGGTCGGATTTGCTACAGAGAGGGAAGGGGGCTCTTTGCAAAAATGTGTATCTGAAGACTGTTTGGATCACAAACTTAAGCCAAGCAAAACCAAATGCCAGACCTTGATCTGCATACAGCCATTCAAGTAGGACCTGCAGACCAGTGTAATCCAATACACTCCAGCCTGTGGAGGAAGCTGGAGACAACTTGTCAGGTCCCTCTGGAACCCAATGGCTTATTCCCTTCTGTCATGCCCTGGAGCAGTGGACAACTCAGGCTGCCACTTTCATCTTTTGCCTGGGAACTGCTCCTGAGGCTCCTCTGGACCTCTTTCCTTCAGCTGCCTATCTCACACAGTGTGCTTTCTTTAGACTCACAGTCAAGAAGAAAAACATTTTCATGGAGTTTATCAAACAAGGGACATTAACCACCCCGTATTTAAAGAAACTACCAGTCCCATAGCTGAAATAGTACCCACGAGATTTGTCCTTTTGTCCTACATAATTAGGCAGAAACTATTCCCATAAGTATATCTTTCTTAAAATTTTGAAAACCTTCTGCCTTCTCTAATACCATGTATGAGAGTTTTAGAACCCAAACGTGTGCTTGAGTAATGTCCCTTTACATTAAACTTCAACCAATTTTTTTAAGAAAAGAGAACCTTCGTTCTCTTTAAATAACGTTCTTCAGTAAAAAAAAGTTTGCATTTTGTAAGGTGAGAGGGGTGAGAATGAACTGCTTTGTCAAACCTTCCACTCCATATTTTTATTCTGGGTTTGTAGAGGCTGTCTTAGCACAGCTAGTCTTATTATTGCTGTTTGAACTTTCAAGGCCTACAAAAGTTTAAAGAAGCATTCGAGTCTTCTGTCTTGCAGAGATAAATAGTTTACCAAAGACATGACTTTTATTCTTAAATTATTACGACTCATAAAAATTTCAAAAACATTATGAATAGGATACAGAGAAACTGACTAAAAAAATTAAAGTAATACATTCTTTGCTTTCTACAGCAATGTGCATATTTCTTCTGGAGAAACCATTAGGCAAATGACAGCAAACTGTCCTTCAAGGAATGGATTTCAGATCTCAAAATGTAACCTTAAAAAAAAAATACTTCTAAACTATGCACAGCATCAGTTTTTGGGATACTGGTGAGCACATAGAGTCAACTGGTCCCACAGTGCTGGATTTGGTGGTTTCACCTACAGAGTGGTACCCCAGAGACACAGCACAGCTTCTGTTCCATGGTTTCTTTTCAGTGAATAGAGTTGCTCCAGCCATTAGAATATATTGGAACCATGACTGGAGAAAAGTATCTCAAAAGACAAACTTTGAACCTTAACCTAGCCACAGGAACTTCTTTCCTAAGTTTCCTTTCCTTTTTGCCTAGGCTTGGATTAGTGAGGCGTTAACAGCCATTACCTCTGGCATTCCTAGAAAACAGGTATACTAAGCAAAAATTATATAAAGATGCTGTAGAAAGCCAGGACTCTTACTTCAAAGATTCTTTCCAACTGAGAAGGCAAATTTTTAAAGGTCTTCCGTGCTCAGAAGACACAGCACACAGAACAAGACATAACACCCTGCTTTCCACATCAGTGCAGTAAATAGGAAGGTCCAAAATAACTCGAGGTAGTTAGATAAAAACACTTTTAAGACCAGAGCTCAAATACAGCTCTCCTTCCTGTATTTGCTGTGCTGTAAACAAATGCACAAACCCCTGCTAAAGAAGCATCACTATCAAGAGTTTACAGCCTGAGAAATGTATAAGACTTCCTAAGTCATCCAGTAAGAGAAGTAGCTTCACAGTGGGAACCACTGACATTTACTGCCTGAATTACAGTAGTGAAAAGCACACCAGGAGTTTTGGATCCCATTCTGGTAGCTCAGCATTGTCTACCCATATATCAACACTTATTAACAGGGACTAAAACTGTCCTTACTTTCAGACCTAGAAACATGGACTCATATTCAGAGTCAAGGATTTAAGCAGAAAGATAAAGAACTACGCAGAGATACCTGGGATAGCTTCAATACCAGGAGGAGAACAGTCACCTTAGGAGTTCAGAAGTATCTTCTGTTTAAGCCTGTTTAAGGTATGGCTCCAAGCAGCTCCATAAACCCCTCTTCACAGACACACAGCAAAGAGAGACTAGAAACTACAGTTTTGATAACGTAACTAATATGACCTTCCATATACAGTCACAGTCTCACCACTCTGAGTCTGACTGACACTATGCATGTACTGTGCACATGTGACATGAGCACACATCTGACACATTTAATGTTTCTTTGCCTCTGTCTTCAGCTGATGATGGGTTGAGAGGGTCTCAGTGCCCAGAGCTAGAAGACCATGGCTGGGAGAATGATAAACTCCCAGAATGATAAACAGTGGCTTATCATTGTGGGATCTGCTGCCCCAGAGTCCCTATAAGACTATGGGGCTTCATGATGGGATTCATCCAAGAATCAAAGAACTGGCTGATGTCATTGCAAGGCCTCTCCTGATGATTTTTTGAA